ACAACGTGACTGAAACGTTCTCCTTCTCGCTCTTCTCCAAAACGGCTCGCTCGAGCATGCTGCTTTTTCTGGGGCTAGTCATAAAAGACGACTCCTGGAATCCTTCAGCTCAACACATAAAATGCAAGTTTAAGCAAAAACAAAAGATAATTTTATTTTGCAGTTATCTTCTTTTTGTTCTAAGAGAAGAGCGGTTGCTTTAAAAAACAAAAAACAATGACTTTGTTGTGCTGATTTAAAGTCAAGCAGAAATTGAAACGCAGACTTAAAAAGCAGTCAAAGTAACTTTTCTTTTTTAAACTAACTGTATAAAAAATAGTAAAATTAACAAAAATGAAAACAAGGTGGAAATGTACTTTAGAAAAAGAAGAAGTGGCAAACAAAAAAAATGATCACCCTAAAGATTTAACAGGTAGTTACAGTTATACGATCATTAAATGGCTCTATTTGCGTGCTTAACTTTAAGTACAAGAGCAAAGGCTCATTGTTATAATTTCTCAAAAAAGGTATGCCAGAGAAGAAGAAGGTTCCAGCAAAAGCTGGCAATTATAAAACAAAAGTGTTCATTCATAAAAGGTCATCTTTTGCTGTAATAACAGCATAAACAACGCAAGTGTATAATGTAATGCTAAACACCAAACATTAGGCAAATCATATCTTTTCATTACCAAACGGACTGTTTGATCAAAAGTTGTTGACTTCCTTGACCAGAACACGACAAGACGAAAATCAGCACTTCTCGAGGATGGGTCGCCATTGTCCAGTGTTCAATCACAGGTGACAATGAACATTGAACAGTTTGTTTGTGGCTAATGATCTCACTTTTCCTATTCTCTCATTTTATCTCTCAATTAATTGCCCCCTCCTCTTTAATTGCCCCTTTTAGCAACCAAAACTTTATGTTTAACCTTTGAAACTTGTGAAAAGATATCAGACGAGCAAGCATGGCCGGCTGGCTGGCGAAACTGTTCACTGCTCTTGCATCAACTGAAATTAAGCAGTCCAATTGAAGAGAGAAAAGTAAGTGGTCAGTGAACAGTAATGAAAAAATGTATAACAACAATAAAACAATATCAGCTGTGAGAGAGACAGAAAATACGTAGAATGAAAGGAGTAGGAGAGAGAGAGAGAGAGAGAGAGAGAGAGAGAGAGAGAGAGAGAGANGAGAGAGAGAGAGAGAGAGAGAGAGAGAGAACAATCTTCAAATGCAGAGACTTGGAAAATGATATAAATAGGAACTCAGGCAGTGATGGAGAGATCATCCAACACTCAACACTTCACTACTTCTTAGCTCAATCCCACCTCAACCCACCACCACAACCACAAAAATGAACGCTCTGGTAAGTAAACAAAGTTGTTCAGCTTCAAAACCCAAAACATTACCTTTTCTACTTCCACCCCAGATCGTCCTCTTTGCCCTGATCGGCGCCGCCGTCGCCGTGCCAGCCTACGGACCAGCGGTCATCTCCAGCGGATACGGCCTGGGAGGCCTCGGCGGCCTCGGAGGAGGTTATGGAGGCTATGGAGCCGGCATCGGCGCCATCGGAGGCTACGGAGTTGGCATTGCCGCCGCGCCCATCGCCGCCACCACCTACCGAACGCAGTCCTCGGTCCTCGCCCCCGTCGGCGTGGTGAAGTCTGTTGTGGCCACCCCGGCCATCACCACCATCGCCGCCGCTCCGGCGATCGTTAGCTCCGGCTATGGTAAGATAGTCCCTTTCTTTTAAGATCTTGGTTTAAAGTAATTTTGTTTCCTATGGATAAGGTCTGGGCGCCAAGGGTCTTGGCCTCGGTCTGGGCGGTCTCGGCTACAACGGTCTCGGTGGTGGCGTGATCGCCGCCGGCCCCGTCGGTCTGGGCGGTCTGGGCGGTTATGGTGGCCTCGGTGGCTACTCTGGTCTCGGTGGAGTCGGTCTCGGCTACGCCGGTGCCGGTCTTAAGGGAGGTCTCTACTAAATGAAGAAGAAGAAGAAACTTGCTCAGCGAAACTTCAGCTACATTGGCAACAACAACAACAACAACTGTGATTGATCAGCTGAGAGAGAAGTTCTGAATGTACACATTTTGAAGGCGTTTTTACTTGTCTTGTTTTGTTTCACAAAAGCAATAAAACGAGTCTAACTTGAAGGTGTTGGGGTGTGGGCCTGTTTTCTGAACTTTTCCTTTTCTTCTGTTGGTGATGTAAAAGTGGTAAGTTTTTGCATGCGTAACAGTTTGTGGTTTTTAAGAACGCACTTTTTCTTTTTCCATCTCTAGAATACTGCATCTTTTGTTCAATGTCACTGACTGTTTTCGTTCCTGGCAATTTCTTATTAGCAGCTACTAGAATTGTTTTCAAGCGTTCCAAAAACCAGCAGCCATTCTTTACGCCATTGTCTTGCTGGTAAGGGGCGGAAAAAACGACAGTAGCGCAGATTTGTCTTCAAATAGTGAATTGTCCAATTTTGAATCACTAATCACCACTACCACCACATTTTACTTTTATTTCTTTTTCCGACGATCGACATTTGCTTTTCAATGTGTGCAACTTTGTCCAGATAAAGATTTCTTTCTTTTTTTTCTAGCATTAATTACAGAGTCACCAAAAAAAGGAGAAAAGGAAAGGAAAAACTCAAGCTCAAATGCAAAAGTGGCAATCGATAATTTGCACTACTGCAGCAGCAGCAGCAGCAGCTGAAGTGACCATTACATGGTCAAGTGTGCGCTGTAGTCTGCTTAGCATAATGTAATACACAACGACTACAAACACACACACACAGAACACTCCAAACTCACCTCATCCATCGTGCATCGTCCATCAGCTGCGATTAGCGTCGGCAATGAACGGGAGAGAAAAAAAGATGAAAAGAAGAAAAAGTGAAATTACAACAGCAGCAGAAGCAACATTGCCGAGTTTCAAGATCATGGATCAAGTGAGCTGCTTCTGCTGCTGCTGCTGTTGCTGCTGATGTCCAATGTCCAAGACAATGAAAGCTGCAAATCATAAAATCAGCGTGCAGTGGTGGTGGTGATACTAAAAAAGAGGAAAAAAGTAGTGTCTTTCTCTCTTACCTTACCTTACCTTCCCCTCCCCTCGCTTTCTTACTACTTTCTGACTAAAAGACTGCCCAGGAGGTACGACGGGGAAGACGGATGATGATGATGCTGATGATGGTGTTGGTGTTTGTGATGAGTGGCAGAAGAAAGGGAAGGAAGGAAGAGAGAAAAAGAAAAAGTCAAAGGCCATTTTAGCAGCATCATCAACAAGCTAGGAAGAAAGGTATAAAAGGTTGAGCTCTGGCGGTGGGTAAAGCCATCCAAACTCATCAGCTCTTTCTCTTTCGCTCAAAGCAAACCAAGCAACCAACCACAAAGCACTACCATGCACGCTCTGGTAAGTCTCATTATCACTTTCTCTTTGCTTATCAGCTTCTTATCAAACTTCTTTATCGCCCAATCTAGGTCGTCCTCGCCGCCCTCCTCTCCGTGGCCGCTGCCATTCCCGCGTACGGCGTCGGCCCGGCCGTCGTCTCCAGCTACGGCTACGGCACCGTCATCCCCGGCGCCTCCGTCTACAGCAAGTCCTACCTGGCCGCTCCGGCCGTCTACGCCGCCCCTGCCGTTTACGCCAAGTCCTACGCGGCCCCGGCGGTCCTTGCCGCTGGCCCTGCCATCGGCTACGGCTACGGCCTGGGCGGCCTCGGCTACGGCGCCGGCCTCTACGGCGGTCTCGGCTACGGAAAGGCGTACGGCGGTCTGGGCTACGGTGGCCTCTACGGCGGCTATGGCTATGGCAAGGGCATCTACTAAACAGTAGTAATCATAACTGAAAAGGTGGTAAAGGCATTCTTACCTCTCAACCAGTCGCCCCTCCCACCTCATAAATAATATTATTTTTATCATCACTTCATTGTACAAAGCANCCGGCCTCTACGGCGGTCTCGGCTACGGAAAGGCGTACGGCGGTCTGGGCTACGGTGGCCTCTA